GGTAAAGTGACACGACCTGTTAAGGACCCGTTAAGATAACGGGTGTGACACGACACGACCCGTTAAGATAACAGGTGTTACACGAAAACGACACGAACACGACTGACACAACCCGTTTGCCAGGCCTATTCGCACCTCACATTAAAATTTAATATTAAATAACTTATTTACCCTACTATGCAATGATAATTTTGACCTTATTAGGTTAAAAAAAATCTATCACCACTACAAAAGGGGCTTATTGTGTTGGTGGTTGGTGTCGTTTTTATAAAATATAGTGGCGCTTAAGACATTCCGACACCTACTTTACATGCTGTCGGAATTACTGTCGCTTATAACCGACATAAACTGTTAATGTCACTTATAACCGACATATATTTTAATATTTTTTAATAGTGGTGTCGCTTTTAACCGACATAAAGACTGGTGTCGCTTTTTCCGACACTAATAATAGTTTTTAAATATTTTCAAAGCCAGTGTCGGTTGTAGCCAACATAAGTTTTAATTTTTATTAAATATTTTTAAACCCGGTGTCGCTTGTAATCGACATAAAGTTAGCGTCGGTTAAAAGAAGACTAGTATCGCTTATACCCGACACTATAGAAAGTTATTAAATATTTTCAAAGCCTGCGTCGCTTGTAGCCGAACTAGATTTTAAATTTTTTTAAATATTTTGAAACCCGATGTCGATTATAGGCGACAGATTGGTGGCCTTTATATACCCTCTAGAATAGGCCTGACAAACAGGTCATGTCGTGTCACACCCTTTATCTTAACGGGTCCTTAACAGATCGGGTCACTTTACCCAACGGGTAAAGTTACTCGACCCGTTAAGAAATTTTTTTCCCCTTAAATTTGCACATAAGATTTTGTGGTATCCACTAGTGTAAATATTTTAAATTGAAGATCGAGTATATTCATATATGAGCAAGGAGTGTAGCTGTAAAAAATCATCAAAATCGGAGTTAAAATAACCGTTAAATCGTGATTTTTCGTTGATAACCGTCGAGACGTTTTGTCCCGTTACTTGATCTCCGAATGTTTGTTTTTTGCAATTTTTGGTGTATGCGATCTCGATGTATATACAAACATGTTTGACGGTTAGATCGTTGAAACTAGTTTTGTAGAATGTGTATCCCATCAAAACAATAGATTCACTAACACTTAAGAGTTTATTCATACTTTCATTAAGTATAACATAAGATTTTGTGGTATCCACTAATGTAAATATTTTAAATTGAAGATCGAATTCATTCATTGTATTCATATAGGATCAAGGAGCGTAGCTGTAAAAAATCAGCACACTTGGAGTTAAAATAACCGTTAAATAGTGATTTTTCGTTGATAACCGTCGAAACGTTTTTTCCCATTACTTGATCTCTGAATGTTTGGCATATGCGATCTTGAAGCATATACAAAAAAGTTTGACGGTTGGATCGTTGAAATTAGTTTCGTATAATGCGTATCCCATCAAAACAATAGATTCACTAACACTTATAATTTATTTATACTTTCATAAAGTATAACATAAGATTTTGTGATATCCACTAGTGTAAATATTTTAAATTGAATATCCAGTTCATTCATTGTATTCATATAGGGTCAAGGAGTGTAAAATCAGAGTTAAAATAACAGTTAAATCGTGATTTTTCGTTGATAACCGTCGAAATGTTTTGTCCCGTTATTGGTTGCAATTTTTGGTGTATGCGATCTCGAAGTATATAAAAACATGTTTGACAGTTGGATTGTTGAAACTAGTTTTGTAGAATGCGTATCCCATCAAAACAATAGATTCACTAACACTTACGAGTTTATTCATACTTTCATTAAGTGTAACATAAGATTTTGTGGTATCCACTAATTTAAATATTTTAAATTGAAAATCGAATTCATTCATTGTATTCATATAGGATCAAGGAGTGTAGCTGTAAAAAATCATAAAAATCGGAGTTAAATAACCGTTAAATCGTGATTTTTTGTTGATAACCGTCGAAACGTTTTGTCCCGTTACTTGATCTCTGAATGTTTGTTTTTTGCGATTTTTGGCGTATGCGATCTTGAAGCATATACAAACATGTTTGACGATTGGATCGTTGAAACTAGTTTCGTAGAATGCGTATCCCATCAAAACAATAGATTCACTAACACTTAAAAGTTTATTCATACTTTCATTAAGTATAACATAAGATTTTGTGGTATCTACTAATATAAATATTTTAAATTGAATATCGAATTCATTCATTGTATTGATATAGGATCAAGGAGTGTAGCTATAAAAAAATCATCAAAATCGGAGTTAAAATAACCGTTAAATCGTGATTTTTCGTTGATAACCGTTGAAACGTTTTGTCTCGTTACTTGATCTCCGAATGTTTGTTTTTTGCGATTTTTGGCGTATACGATCTCGAAGTATATACAAACAAGTTTGACGGTTGGATCATTAAAATTAGTTTCGTACAATGCGTATCTCATCAAAACAATAGATTCACTAACACTTAAGAGTTTAATTATACTTTCATTAAATATAACATAAGATTTTGTGGTATCCATGTAAATATTTTAAATTGAAGATTGAATTCATTCATTGTATTTATATAGGATCAAAGAGTGTAGCTGTAAAAAAATCATCAAAATTGGAGTTAAAATAACCGTTAAATCATGATTTTTCGTTGATAACTGTCGAAACGTTTTGTCTGGTTACTTGATCTCTGAATATTTGTTTTTTGCGATTTTTGGCGTATGCGATCTCGAAGTATATACAAACAAGTTTGATGATTAGATCGTTGAAATTAGTTTCGTATAATGCGTATCTCATCTAAACAATAGATTCACTAACACTTAGAGTTTATTTATACCTTCATAAAGTATAACATAAGATTTTGTGGTATCCACTAGTGTAAATATTTTAAATTGAAGATCGAATTCATTCATTGTATTTATATAGGATCAAAGAGTGTAGATGTAAAAAATCATCAAAATTGGAGTTAAAATAACCGTTAAATCGTGATTTTTCGTTGATAACTGTCGAAACGTTTTGTCTCGTTACTTGATCTCTGAATGTTTGTTTTTTGGGATTTTTGATCTCTGAATGTTTGTTTTTTGGGATTTTTGGCATAGCCGACGTGTGTTCACCACAACCCAGCTCGGGCCCTAGGAGATCTCACCGACATTAAGAAGCACTTTAGCCAGAAACATGGGGAGAAAAAATGGAAATGTGACAAGTGCTCCAAGAAATATGCAGTGCAGTCAAATTGGAAGGCGCATCAAAAGACCTGCGGCACAAGGGAGTATAAATGTGACTGTGGAACCATCTTTTCTGAGGAACTTCATATGGTGTCTTATGCATCTTCTTCAACTTCTACTTCTAATTCCTCCAGGAGATCATCCAGGAGTTCTGTAACAATGCTGATGACTGAGAACAGTGAATTAAGAATGAATTGGGACAATTGTTATTGTTATTAGTTTTTATTAATGTTTGCTTTGGCCTATATATGAAATATGATTGGAATTATTTATATATATATTTTTATTATTATTAACGAAAAATGGAGAAACAGTTTGTATTATGCTTTATTTTAATATATATGGTGTCGCTTATGGACAACAGCATCATAAATATTATATTTATCGAAATGTAGGTAATGTCGGTTAGGACCGACAGTAGATTGATTATTTTATTTGTTTACTATTATGTAATGTCAGCTACGACCGACAATAAGTGTAATATTTTATTGTTTAATTGTTACTTAATGTCGGTTAGTAGCGCCATCATGTCAAAATTTAATGTCGCTTATAAGCGACGTAATCTACGATGTCGCTTTTAAGCGACACTGTTGTTCTTTTTATTTTATATTACTTTGCTTCGTGATGACGGATTAAGGGGTCTAAGTGACGTCAATACCCTTTCCGTGACGGTAGTATTAGTGTCGCTAACCCAATCTGACATTGCATTATTTAATGTCGGATTTTTACCAAATAGCCGACAGTAATTGGTGTTTCTTGTCGGTTTTTGACCGCCGGTGATAGTCCCTTTTGTAGTAGTGTATACACACCCCAAATCACTTTTAACGTATTATTTATCTTCTTCAACTATCAAAACCCCTTCGACCCTCTATTGTTAAACAAAACTCTAACTAATGAAACTACGAAATCGATGTTTCAGAAGTTTCACATGAGGTACGACTTCATATTTTTTATTGTTTTAGTGATTTTGACGACATCGATAATTATTTAATCTTGCTTTTGATGCGTTGTTCAAGTTTCTATGTTCGTATTCATCTTTTAAGGATCACATGTTTTACATGAAGAATTGAACACCTAAAATTACCACCAAATATTAAAAACAGACGACATGAGTTTTAATGGTGGAATAAAAAACAACCCACATATGCTTTAAATCTCAAGCGACATCTTTTGTCAAAATTTCAATCGGCATTTTTTGTCCAAATTTCAATCGGCATTTTTTGTCCAAATTAAAAACTTGATAAGATTTGAGAAATATGGGTGTATATATAGAAAATATGGGGTGCATGTAGAAAATGTAAGGTGTATATTAAGAATGTGGGGTGTGAGGGTATTATGAGGAAGTATGTGGGGGTATATTAAGATAATTTTTAATTGAAAAAGCAAATGTGGGGTGTATTAAGTATGTGAGGTTTATTCAGCAATTTGTAGAGTGTTAATATAATAAGCCTTTTATTTTTGTTTTCTTTGGTTATCACAAAGATAATTAAGAGGTATTTACTTAAATCAAACACCCTAATTTGAGTGGGTTTAAATGGGAGTTATGATTTATTTAATTGAATAAACAAATTCTACAATCAAAAAAATATTAAACGACAGTCATTGTACTTAGTATGTCGAAATTAACTTAAATTGCAACAATTCAAACTATATCTAGACTGAGACTTCATCCAAACTACAAGGACTAAAGTCATACTTTTACCAAAACCCTATACAAAACTTAAGTTAATTAGACCATTAACGAATCCCACAAGTCCAAAGTAAATGAACAGAAAAGAACTGGTTTGGATTAGAGCAAAACTAAAAGTACAAAACAAATTAAACAAAATAAAATGTTAAAAAACAAACGTGGTGCCCTTATATCCCACATTGTTCCATCTGTATAGCTCACAAGCATACTGTCATAGCCCATTTAACATCATCAATTAACAGACCCTCTTCACTAAGCTTGGAACCTCTCAAGCCCGACCTTATACCCAACACTCTTTATATCTTGCTGCACTTCGTTCTGAAAATCCCTATAAGTAAAGGGCTTATAGTTTGAGCTCCGAATCACACTGCCTTCTCCCGGAAACACAAAATAGCAGATTGAAACTCTCTCTTTGCTTCTGTTCACCTTCACTCTGTGCTTCACACTCTTGTACTTGTCATCGCTTATCGCCTAAAACCAAAGCACAAATTGCGTCAACAAACACATCAATCAAATAAGAGTTGTGCTACAGTTAGTCGCCTACACGCATGTGTGATTTTCGACCAAAAGTGAAGCTTACGTCTCATTTACGGTCAGAAATCTCTCACACGTGCATAACCAACCGAACTCAACAAATACCTAGGGAGTTAATCATGTTTAATCATATATATGACCTGCATCATGTCTCCGAGGTTGACAATCAGTGTGTTGGGAATTGGGTTAACACTGAACCACTCATTGTCTTTGAGAACTTCGAGTCCACCGACTTCATCTTGATTTAGTATCGAGAGCACAGAGCTGTCAGTGTGCACGTCCATGCCCCATGCAGATGCAGAGCTGGAGTTGGAGCAATGTGGTGGGTAGCGATAGACACGTACAATGCCAGTAGAATTTGATAAATGGGATTTGGATTCTATTGGATCCAATCCAAGGTTTATTACCATAGCGTCAAATATAGTTGTCGCTAGCCTAGCTAGGTGCTTCCCATATTCTTCTAGCACAAGGCTTTTGAGGCACAAAGAAGTAATACTCTTTGTTTAACAAGTTTATGTATAAAACAATAGAAAAATATTTGGCTCCTTACATGTAAAAAATTATCTATCGTTTCAAACCAGCAATTATATACGACTATTTCTTTTCATGTGTCAAACTGTAATTCACTGTTAAAAACAAATTTCTTAGATGATTTCTATAGTCTTCTAGCACAAGACTTATGAGATGAAATATATATTATTTGTTACAAAAATTAAACTAGCTAGCTCTTTACATATAATTATTTATTTTTCCTTCTGCATGAAGCACATTTACTTTTGTATATGTGTGACATTACAATCTAGAGTTACGGAGGAATAATAGATTCTAGAGAAATAACTGCTCAATCGTAACAGCAACACAATGTTCTAATGAAAATAAGAGCAATCAACCAAAAGAAAAAGATACAAAACCTTTTTTTAAGGGTAAAACCATGCTTCTCATATTTTCTTATTCTAGGCAGTTTTCTTATCTTTCTTCAAAACGTTATAATATTCTTATATGTAAGAAGTCATTTGTACGTACATACACCTATCAATGCAAATACAATAAAAACAAAATTGAATTGGGTCAAAATTTCCAAACCATACTTTACAACCAATGAAAAGAAAGATACCTGAAAGAAGCAATTATGGGATTGTCAATTTGAAAACTGAGTTGAGCTAGAGGGACGTTGAGTCCTTCAACCCAGTTGATATTCTGGAGGGTACTACTACCCTTTGTTGATAAGGCCGCCCCAGATGGAGTAAGGGCAGGGGTACCCCAGAAGTAGGACAGAGGGTTGGTGATAAGGCTCTGTTTGGACTCAAACGGCAGGGAAAAAACCATTTTGGCATGCTCCCGAAGTTGGGTCAAAAGGGTTGGAGGAACTCCATGATTGACCAAACGAAAAATTCCCCAAAACTCGCATGCCTCGCCAAGTTTCAGGCTCTGGAGATCCACCACAGGAATCGGATCCTCCGAATCATGAACCGGGTTGACTTGGCCGTCCAAATCAACGGCCTGGGTTGAATCTGGAAGTGAACGAAACGGTGGAGGGTAGGATTCAGAAGCCATTTTTTTCTCAGAACAACGGAGGTCATCGTCTTCTTGTTGGGCAGGAGGCTGCTTATTAATTATCATAGCAATTTGGAAAAAAAAAAAAATTATCATAGCAAACTGGCACACTGAAAAATATTCCAACCAAAGAATGAATGGGACGGCAACCTTTTTTAGCGAGACAAAGGTCCATTTGTTTATTCTTCAAGTGGGACCAGAATGTTGTTTGTTTAAAAAAAGTTTCAGTGTTTCGAGATCACAACTCAATACACTTAGTGTATTATGACACTTGTCGTATTAGATCGTGTCCTGCATGTCAAACAATTTCTCTTTTTTAAAGAGATTTTTTAGTCCGCTGGGATTATAACTCATTATACTAAATATGTTATAACACTTAGTGTATCGTGTTGTGTCTCTGCATACTAATTATTTATTTTTTTTTTTTTTCTTCTGAATATTATGGTGCCGACACGGGACCTGTGGTCCATTCTCCAACCCTAGGCAAAATCTAGGGAAAAAGAGAGAATGATGGATTGGAAAGGTTGCTCCTAAATCGGTCATACGTCTGTTTGTGCACATGTGCTATTTTTGGAGTAGGATCCTCTTCTTTTTCTAACTTCTTTAATTCCCTTCTTTCACACTTTCTATTTTATTTTTCATTTTTCATAAAAAAAATAGAAGATGTTGATATGATTTAATTATAACCGTTTAAATAAGAGAAAAATATTTAACAAGATGTTGATGGGATGTAGGAAGGTTTGAATAGTTAGATTACAATTGTCAAAATTTAGTCATACAAATCAAGCCATTAATTAAACTGGTGCATGGAAGAATGTTACAAAACTTAATGCTTATGTTGTTTGAAATTTATTGTTGATCAAGATGATTTTTAGCCTTATATATTTAATTTAACAACGTAAGTTCGTTAAAAAAATCACAAATGGTCAAATATATTATTTCGTTTATGTTCGATTCTAAGATCAACTTTAAACTAATATATTTTTTCATGTTCTTTTTTATCCTTATCTGTTTTTTTATTACTTTGTCCTCACTTTGTTTTTTTGATAGCCTATAAACTCAACAATTTTATCCTTATTTGAATGTTTAACCATAAGGCCCTAATTGCAGCTGATGAGTTGGCTATTTAAAATAAGAAGTTTGAACGAAAAACCCACGGTATTATTCTTTAACGAAAAACTACATTTTTATTAAAAAGTCAAATCTGGTACTATTCACTTTACCCTTTATTTTGTCCTTATCATTAAAACTCAAAATTTTCAAGCTATTTTCATTAGTTTTCCTTTTAAAATATCATTTTATTTATTCATTTTAGGATAATATTCACATCTTTTAGGAATTTCTCCCACGCATTTTCTCCGTATAAATTTTTATAATTAGAACGGTTCAATTTCTTAATCTTTATCTGAACATTATCCCAATAAAAGTTATTTGAATCACCAATTATTTATGCATCCAAACGTAGAACTACTTATTTGCAAAATCATTCTTAATATTTCATTTACCTATTTATTTTCTCTTATATGTAAAACTAATGACAACACTTAACACTAATGTACTTATACAACTAATACAACTCATGTACCAAAAACTAATGAAATTACACATAATTTGCATATCTACAAACCAATGAGTGCCTATAATACGATATTGTATTGAATTTTAAAATCCAGACTTGTAGCTGCCAAACTACTTGTAGCATAACCAAGGGTTAGGCCAGGTCTCGTTAACAAATCGAAATGGGTAGTGGTGGTAGTGCTTATATCAAGTTCACCCATTTTAGGAGGGCAAGAACAAGGTAAGGATAAGGGCACTGAAATTGTCATTACTCTTCACTCTAAACAGTAATTGCCTTTGTCAATTGATGGATTTATGAAAATTTAAAATAAACTATGTTTCGCTAGCTACTGAAAGAGGAACAACATGTGCTGCTAAAAAATCAATTATAAATTGATACGTGTCTGAATAATTGAAGTTAAAAAACTATAATTGGACACTTGCCCATTTATGATTAGGCATGATTCATTAAAAATTAGATGCTTGAAAGGGTTAAGTTTTTTAAAGTAATCGTTCAAATAGTAGTTCAAATCGAATAGTACTCTCGACTGTTTTACTGAAACTATATTTATACGTCCTCAAATTTTTGCCATGTTTTATCGGACCCACGACCGATCGTTAAAAGTATTAAAAGTTGCCCTAAGACAATATCACGTGCTTTTATTTTTACACTCATAATTTTTCTTTAAAAAAAAAAAAAAACTCTTAATGTGGCTTTCGCATTCTTTATACCCCTTACCAATAGTAAAAGAAAAACTTACAACTCATTATTTGCCAAAGAAAAACAGAGATTTTTTAGTGTGATAGATGTTAGACTTTATATATCTTATAAATAACTAAAAATACTAACCTGAAAAAATTTATAAATTATTCTCAATTGATAAAATACTCGAAGTCAACATGGCATGTAGGAAAGATGAACCATCTTTGATAGAACCATGCAGAATAGGATCAACCATGGACTTCTCCTTCGGTGGAAATCGTATTGGAATCATGTGGAATAATATGTTAGTTGACCAAGGACTTCTGCACACTCAACACTCCTTTATACTCAAACTAATGGGGCGTTCATATGAGTTTCTGTGTGTTGTGAGCAGGGACCTTGGCTTTGTATTTATATGGACTTAACCCTAATGAATCTTCCCATAATAATGTCATTAGGATTCCTTACAGTCCAAGGATAATTGATACACCAAATCTCATTCCAAATAGGATAGAATTAGGAGCCTTTATTCCCCAAGGAAATCCGGAATATATTAACTTTACTTAGGGTACAAGCTATAGCTATTAACTAAATCCTAGTCTTATTTATATTCCAAGCAATCCTTGAATTAACTGTGTAGACCAATTAGTCATTGGATTATGATCCAATGTCCAACATTCTCCCACAAAGTCAAACGGTTAATTCATAAAAGATCTTTAAAGGATTTATAAGCAAGATTACTTTATTGGCCACTGAATTTAGTCAACTAATATTACTTTCACATGTTCTGTCAAATGGAGTTTACTTATCTAGAACTATCAGAGACTATGAACTTAGTAGCATCCATGAGCTCTTAGAATCATTGAAATAAGCTCTTCATTCACATGAAACATACGTCACATATTTGGTAATTAAGTGAATCAAAACCTGAATTGAAAGCATCAATTCATTCACTTATTGGTCATCCTTATCAATCTTTATAAGATTGCCTTATGATTCCCATGAAGCTCATTAACTACAGAACCAGCTTACTTTTGTGTCTAACAAAAATAGATGACACAACTTTTTTGCAGTTTAAGACGTTCGCTGCTACTTTATGTGTTCTAAACTACAAAACCTAAGTACAAAACTCAATCCTCCTAGTACTTAGAACGCAACTAAAAATACACCTTTGCTACTTTATAGAATTCACAACATAAACTAAAGATTAAATCCATACCTTAATGCAATTGTTAATCATGTATGGCATGAGTGTTATAACATGAGAATACTGTCATACATGCATACAAATTCGAAAATCAACAGTGGGACAATCATAGGATTGAAAACTGGACAATCCTAATAAAATCTAGAAAATTTCAATCTAGCATGCATCTTTTTTCCACAAACTCGACATTAAAATTCTAGGGAGAAACATGCAAATATAAAACTAAGTTTCATACTCAAAACTTTACAAACATATATTAGCATAAGAACAACTCCCACGGATCTTTAGAACTTAGCATGTGTGACTTAGATTCAATGTGAAGCCCAATTATTTGTTTATCAATTCTCCCACTTGGGCAAACACTCATTGCATTTGTTACTCTAAAAAGCATATAGGTAAAAATATATATTTTTTATTTGTACTAGTATAGAATTTCTCAAAATATATTAGTAAAGTAGTATACTATACCAAAAACCAAGATTCCAACTTGAGGAACTACATAATTAATGTATAATTGATTTGTCCCAAAATCACATAGACGATACGAAAGAAATTAAACTTTATAAAACAGAATATGAAATTGTTCTAGAGCTAAAAGATAGCTCAAAATTTTCAACATATAAGAAAACAATGAAAACTCCAGTCTCGACTTTCAACTGAGTACATGTTACTAATAAAATCACCATAAATAGGGTACACCACCAATGAGCACGAAATTTTCCAGTCCATAAGTAGACATATATATGAACAACATATCCAAATTTCAAGTCATTTGGAGGTCATTCAATCATTCGTTTGTTAAACTTAATTGAAGCGATGAAAACTGCCAGACTAGACTTTCAACTGAGCACGGGTTACTAATAAAATCCCTATAAATAAATTACACAACCCAAAATCACGAACTTTTGCAGTCTAAAAATAGAAATATATGTGAAGAACTTATTCAAATTTCAAGTCATTTGGTGGTCAATAGCTCAGTCATCGTATTCCAGCAGAAATTTTTTTGTGCATCTATGTCAACTTGATAAAACCACCAAAAATTCAATTCTTCATGTATTTTCGTAATTTTGGTGTCCAAAGAAGCTTTAAGAAGTCTACTTCAACATATAGCTTTATCATGAATAAATCTTGAACCATAAACATATGCAAATAAATAACAAAGCAGCAGATTTCAATGCGTACCTTAGGCAATTGTGATTATCCTTCAGGTGTTCAACGACATATGCTCCATTTAATTTTGAGAAGAGAAGACAGCACATAACAAACATTAAATCACATAACCAATCTTGAAGAAATCCAAAACTTTTAACAAGACAAACATACCACCATCTCTGAATACATTGCAATATGCGACTTTTGAACTGAATTAAGGCAAATTTAATCAAACATGTATCTTGATCCAAAAATTAATTTAAACCAATGTAGATTACATTTGGTCGAGAAGCCTTAAGACCAAAACAAATTCTATGTCATGCTTTATCGATCCCAATATGGGATGTAGGGGGGCTCATAGAAAAACATTCAAAACTTTAAACACAGAACTATCATGACTTTAAATTCACAAATTCACAAATACCTCATAAACTTTACAACTGAAACAACTCGCACCTTTGTTTGGTTGAAGCTTAATCAGTTTTTGGTGTTAAAATATAAATCATGTGAGCAAAATATAGACATGAAAACTATCCACCTTTGTTTGACAATTAGTTATCACAGGTTTCACCTAATCTATACTTTACACTAAGCCATTATTAATCGAACAATAAGACTAGTCACACCTTTGTTTGGGGATATAGTCATATTGTTATGACTACTAATGCAATTTGATCAAATAAACTTTGAATTTTTAGCAGCCTTTGAATCAATGGAACGGATTTGTTGTGTCCCATTCACCCAAAAACATTGATCTTATGATAACTTTTAGCATGTCTTAAAAGGTCGTACCCAGTGCACGAGGCTCCTGCTTTACGCAGGGTCTGGGAGAGGTGAATGTCGACTAGCCTTACCCCCATTTATGGAGAGGCTACTCCCAAGTCTCGAACCCGAGACCTACCGCTCATGGGCGAAGGCACTTGCCATTGCACCAAGTGCGACCTCTAACTTTTAGCATGTCTTAATAATAAAAATTTCAATCGAAGAGCATGCTTATGTAGCAAAGTTAGAGAAAACATACAATTTTCCGGTTTTAATTAGACCTAATATTTTAAAATATGTGAAACTAATTTCATCTTGGATCTTAACCATGCATTAGTTTCATATATGCATGATAAGAAAAATAGCTTGCTATAGAATTGAAAAACCTGAAAGCAATTCTAGCATGACTTTTGCAAAATATTAGGCAACCAAATATTGATATATATGAATGATTTTTCCAGTTTTAGTTATTTATATCAATTATTCGGTTTGATCATATATATTAAATTGAAAACGTTAACTAGTCCAAATAGAGATTGAGCATGCAGTAGCATATCAACATATTGTGAGAAGATACTAGTTTTATAAAACAAATTGCAAACAAAATCTGGGTAGCAGTGAGCTTGAAGACCAAATTAAATCCTAATATATGTCTTATTTAAGATATAACTCATGAGTTAAATACGATATATTCTTTGATTTTGTAAGGTACCTTTTTAACATGCATTTAGTCATATGTTTCAACTAGCATGCTAATACAACAATAATAGATATTCATGAAACAAATGTGATTTAGACATGTTGTAAGGATGTACTTACATTTAAACTTATGAATTCACATACTTTGCGACAATAGTTGTCTCATACACTGTTTCAAGACCATCACATATGTGATATACACAATCCTGTAGGCTTCATGATAAGAGATGTCCTCTAATGTTCTTAACTAGGTTGTTCCCTCTTTTAGCCAATTTCAGCAGCAATATATATCTATGGTATTCAATCAATAATATAGTCTGCATATTATTGTCTCAATAGTTAATTGATATCATAATACCAAAACATGGGCTATAACATAAGCAATATACATATTCAAGGTCATGAAGGGGTGGTTTGGGAGTAAGGTGATTAAAAAAAAACACCCATGAAAAAAAGCTGCGAGGGTTTTAGGTGTTTGGTAAACTGAAAAAAAATGGCTTATTTTGGAAGCTGATGTGAGAATAAGCTGAAATCAAAGGAAAAAGTTGAAGCTACTATTTGCAGCTTTGGAAAACTAGCTTTTTTTCAAAGCACAAGGAGCTACAGTGCTCCTTTAATGAAAAGACCCACTATCAGACTGTTTTTTTTTTCCAAAAGCACTTTTACAAAAAAGTTTACCAAACACTCTGTTGATTTATTTCACAGCCGCTTATTCTCACAGCACAACTGCTTATTCTCACAGCAGTTTTTTTTCAAAGCACAACAATACCAAACCAGCCCGAAGTATCATTAGTTAAAGCTGAAAACTAAGCCATACATGGCTATGAACTTTCAAATTAAAATCCATTGAAATGGACATGGATTAAACATATGCATACCTCATCGAATGCATTCCAGACTTATCATGCCTGAAAAATAATGTATATCACTGAAGACAAACATGAGATTTACATATGTGCATATGAAATGCAAGGCTGCAAGTACCACTGATAGCATATAACATAAACTTTATGAATTACAGGTCATCAAAATGACTTTAAATTACCACTTTCATGCTGTCAGATTTTTCGTATATTTATACACATATCAAGACTTACCATGTATGTGAACTAACTAAGAACCTGCAATACAATTTACATTAGTAGTACCGAGAATCTCTAGAAAGTAATTTATCATAAACTTGAACAAGGAAACCAAGTCAAAACCATATGTTTAAGCAAATTGTGGGTTGCCACATATTCTTAATGATTATTAACATCCTTAAATTCTCCATGTTTCCAAAAATTATGCAATAACCTTGAATAATTATAAAACTAAAAAGGCTGTGTACTTTTCCTTTTTCTGGGAATACAAGCATGATAAAATAAATGTTAGTCCATCATATAAGGTAGTATATATGCGACTATGCCATATGCCATTCCCAAGAATTTTATCAACATTCAAACTAAGAACTGAAAGTCAAAACCGAACCTTATATATATATATATATATGCCTATTTACATTCCCAAAGTTCTCTATGTCAACAAAAAATAAAAAAGAAAAATTAATAGGTTAAGAACCATGTTTATCCCTTTTTCAGAAATATGTATGTGGCAAAAAAGGGTTTGTCATGATGCTATATATATACATATGCCAACCTCAAGAAGCTCTCGTTCATGACAATTATATATACTTAATGCCTTTTTTAGAAATATTTAATTTTAACATCCCAAATTATATATGCACAACCACATATATAGGAGACTTGATTAAGGTAGTTCTGATAAAGCTAATAAACATGTATAAGCCCAATAGGACAATGAAATCAAAATAAGATGCAATATCAATTAATAGGTTGTAATATTCCTTCAAGTCAAAGGACAAGTTTTAATATATAGCTATCTCAAATTTCAATATGAAATTTAGGTTAAAACACAATTCACATAGAAAACCAATTTCTCTTTGCCGTGAAACATGAGTATGGAAATTGAGCAAACTTAAAACATGTCATCGATTCAAGACATTAATCTTTAGGGTTTACCGAGTAGGTCTTTAGTTGTATTATGACCTGCTCTGATACCAACTGTTAGACTTTATATATTTTATAAACAATTAAAAACATTAACCAAAAAGAATCCATAAATTATGTTCAATTGATAGAGTACTTGAAATCAACATGGTATATAGGAAAGATGAACCATCTTTGATAGAATCGTGTGGAATAAGGTCAACCATGAACTTCTCCTTCGATGGAAATCATATTGGAATCATGCGGAATAATATGTTAGTTGACCAAAGTCTTCTGCATACTCAACACTCTTTTATACTCTAACTAATGGGGGGCGTTCATATGAGTTTCTGTGTGTTGTGAGCAGGGACCTTAGCCTTGTATTTATATGAACTTAACCCTAATGAATCTTCCCATAATAATGTCTTTAGGATTTCTTTTTATTTTTTAAAGGGTAAAACCATGCTTCTCATCTTTTCTTATTCTAGGCAGTTTTCTTATCTTTCTTCAAAACGTTATAATATCCTTACATGTAAGAAGTTATTCGTAAATACATACACCTTTCAATGCAAATACAATAAAAACAACGTTGAATTGGGTCAAAATTTCCAAACCATACTTTACAACCAATGAAAAGAAAGATACCTGAAAGAAGCAATATTATGGGATTATCAGTTTGAAATTGACTGAGTTGAGCTAGAGGGACGTTGAGTCCTTCAACCCAGTTGATATTCTGGAGGGTACTACTACCCTTTGTTGATAAGGCCGCCAGAGATGGAGTAAGGGCAGGGGTCCCAGAATTAGGACAGAGGGCTAGTGATAAGGCTCTGTTTGGACTCAAACGGCAGGGAAAAAAATCCATTTTTGGCATGCTCCCGAAGTTGGGTCAAAAGGGTTGGAGGAACTCCATGATTGACCAAACGAAAAATTCCCCAAAACTCGCACGCCTCCCCAAGTTTCAGGCTCTGGAGATCCACCACAGGAATCGGATCCTCGGAACCATGAACCGGGTTGACTTGGTCATCCAAATCAACGGCCTGGGTTGAATCTGGAGATGAAGGAAACGGTGGAGGGTAGGATTCAGAAGCCATTTTTTTCTCAGAACAATGGAGGTCATCGTCTTCTTGTTGGGCAGGATGCTGCTTAATAATTATTATAGCAAACTGGCACACTGAAAAATCTTCCAGCCAAGAGAATGAATGGGACGGCAACCTTTTTTAGCGAGACAAAGGTCCATTTGTTTATTCTACAAGTGGGACCAGGATGTTGTTTGTTTCAAATATTTTCAGTATGTCGGGATTACAACTCAAATATACTTATTGTATTATGTCATTTGTAGTATTTGATCGTGTCCCTGCATGCTAGACGATATTTTTTCAGTCTATCAGGATTATAACTCATTACACACTTAGTGTATGGTGTTGTGTCTCGGCACGCTAATTTTTATTTTTATTTTATATATATATATATATATTTTTTTTTCTGAATATTATGGTGCCGACACGGGACCTCTGGTCCATTCTTCAACCCTAGGCAAAATCTATGAAAAAAGAGAGTGATAGATTGGAAAGGTGGCTCCTAAATTAGTCATAGGTATGTCTGTGCACATGTGCTATTTTTGGACTAAGATTTTCTTCACTCTTCTTCCATCCTCACCTCTCACACTTTCTATTTTATCTTTCTATTTTTATAAAAAATGAATACAAGATGTTCGACGTAGATTAACTGTAACCTTTCAAATAGAAAGGGAGGGAAGAGTGGATGGGGGAGGGGGGAAATGAGGGAGCGAATCCTTCTCCAATATTTTTACCACTCAATGTTTAACAAGATGTTGATCGGATGCATGAAGGTTTGAATACTTCGATTATGATTGTCAAAATTTAGTGATACAAATCAAGCCATTAATTAAACTGGTGCATGGAAGAATGTTACAAAACTCAATGCTTATGTTGTTTGAAATTTATTGTTGATCAAGATGATTTTTAGCATTATATATTTAATTTAACAACGTAAGTTCGTTAATAAAAATATCACAAATGGTCAAATATATTATTTCGTTTATATTCAATTCTAAGATCAACTTTAACCTAATACATTGTTTAAGACTAACCTATATGCACATGCTCGTATTCTTTTTTATCTTTATCTGTTTTTTTATCATTTTGTCCTCATATTTTTTTCTTTTTTATTGATTGCCTATAAACACAACAATTATATCATTATTTGAATGTTTAACCAAAAGGTCCTATTTGTACCTGATGAGTTGGCTTTTTAAAACATCATTTTATTTATTCATTTTAGGATAATATTCACATCTCTTAGAAATTTCTCCCACGCATTTTCCCCATATAAATTTTTATAATTAGAACAGTTCAATTTCTTAATCTTTATCTAAATATTATCCTAGTAAAAACTATTTGAATCGAAAATTATTTATGCTTCCAAACGTAGAAGAAGTTATTTGCAAAATCATCCTTAATATTTCATTTACCTATTTCTTTTCTCTTATATGTAAAACTAATGACAACACTTAACATTAATGTACTTATACAACTAATACAACTCATGTACCAAAAACTAATGAAATTACACATAATTTGCATATCTAGAAACCAATGAGAGTGCCTATAATGCAATATTGTATTGAATTTTAAAATCCAGACTTGTAACTGCCAAACTACTTGTAGCATAACCTAGGGTTAGGCTTGGTCTCGTTAACAAATCGAAATGGGTAGTGGTGGTAGTGCTTAGATGAAGTTCACCCGTTTTAGGAGGGCAAGAACAAGGTAGCGGTAAGGGTAGTGAAATTGACATTACTTCTCACTCTATACAGTAATTGTCTTTGTAAACTAATGGATCTACGAGAATTTAAAATGAACTATGTTTAGCTAGCTACTGAAAGAGGAGCAACATGTTTGCTAAAAAATCAATTACAAATTGACACGTGTCTGAATAATTGAAGTTAAAAACTATAATTGAACACTTATCCATTTGTGATTAGGCATGATTCATTTAAAATTAGATGCTTGAAAGGGTTAAGTTTTTTAAAGTAATCGTTCAAATAGAAGTTCAAATCGAATAGTACTCCATTTGGACTGTTTTACTGAAACTATATTTATATACGTCCTTCACAAATCTTTGCCACGTTTTATCGGACCAACGACCGATCGTTAAAGGTGTTGAAAGTTGACCTAAGACAGTATCACGTGCTTTTATTTTTACACTCCAAATTTTTCTTAAAAAAAAAAGAAAAAAAAAACTCTTATTGTGGCTTTCGCATTCTTTGTCCCCCTTACTAATAGAAAAGAAAAACTTACAACTCGTTATTTGCCAAAGAAAAATGAGGGATTTTTTAGTGTGCTAGATGTTAGACTTTATATATTTCATAAACAACTAAACATACTAACCTCAAAGAATCCATAAATTATGCTCAATCGTTAAAGTACTCGAAGTCAACATAGCAGGTCGGAAAGATGAACCATCTTTGACAGAACCGTATGCAATAGGGTCAACCATGGACTTCTCCTTCGGTGGAAATCGTATTGGAATCCTGCAGAATAATTTGTTAGTTGACCAAAGTCTTCTGCACACTCAAAACTCCATTATACTGAAACTAATGAGGCGTTCATATGAGTTTCTATGTGTTGTGAGCATGGGCCTTAGCATTCCAAACAATTCTTGAATTAACTGTGTAGACCTATTAGTCATTGGATTATGATCCAAAGTCCAACATTCTCCCACTAGGTCAAACATTTAATTCATAAAAGATCTTTAAAGGATTTACAAGTAAGATTACTTTATTGGCCAATGAATTTAGTCAACTAATAAGCTTCCTACATGTTCTGTCAAATGGAGTTTTCTTATCTAGAACCATCGAAGACTATGAACTTGGTAGCATCCATGAGCTCTTATAATCACTGAAATAAACTCTCCATTCACATGAAACATACGTCACAGATTTGGTAGTTAAGTGAATCAAAACCTTAATTGAAAGCATCAATTCATTCACTTATTGGTCCTCCCTATCAATCTTTATAAGATTGCCTTATGCTTCATATGATGCTCATAAACTACAAAACCAACTTACTTTTGTCTCTAAAAAAAATGGATGACACAACTCTTTTGCAGTTTAAGACGTTCGCTGCTACTTTATTTGTTTTGAACTACAAAACCTAAGTACAAAACTCAATCCTCCCAGTACTTAGAATGCAACTAAAAATACACTTTTGCTACTTTATGGAATTCACAACATAAACTAAAGATTAAATCCATACCTTAATGCAACTTGTAATTTTTGTTGCTTCCTTATTGTCATGAATCACAAACTAAACTAACTAACAGCTGCATAAAACCTTCACAGCTTAGTAAATCACGACAATCTTATATAAATGTGTAATGCCAACTTGGATCCTCATTCGACTAGTCATAAAAAAGGTCGTACCCAGTGCACAAGGCTCCCGCTTTACGCAGGGTCTGGGAGAGGTGAATGTCGGCTAGCCTTACCCCCATTCGACTAGTCATAACCGGCCACAATTTCAACTATATATAAAAGAACTGAAATTTAAACCCACATTCATAAATCAAACAAGTGAGGCACATATCAATATAATTAGCTAAACATCCCTTATGACATAAGCCACACATTTAAATTGTTCCTCCCACTAATCAATTATAACTAATATTGAATGTGAGTAGCAAATACAATAAATAGATAGACATATTCATTAAAAAAACACGTTCTTGCACTTTGTACTTAATCATGTTGTACAACAATAAATATGTTAAGCCAAATTCATTTAGCAAGTATTACTTCATGTCAATTATTTCAGTCATTACTTCCAACTAGTATGTACCAAACAACTTAAAAAGCAATTGTCTTTACAAGAACTTAACCAAACAGTAGTTAATCATGTATGTCATGAGTGTTAAAACATGAGAATACTGTCATACATGCATACAAATTTGAAAATAAACAGTGGAACAATCCTAGGATTGAAAACTGGACAATCCTAATAAAATCTAGAAAATTTCAATTATAGCATGCATCTTTTTTCCACGAACTCGATTTTAAAATTCTAGGGAGAAACATGCAAATATAAAACTAAGTTTCATACTCAAAACTTTACAAACGTACGTTAGTATAAGAACAACTCTCACGGATCTTTAGAACTCATGTGTGACTTAGATTCAATGAGTGTGAAGCCCAATTATTTGTTTATCAATTCTCCCACTTGGGCAAACACCCATTGCATTTGTTACTCTGAAAAGCATATAGGTAAAAATATATTTTTATTTGTACCAGTATAGAATTTCCCAAAATATATTAGTAAAGTAGTATACTATATCATAAACCAAGATTCTAACTTGAGGAACTACATAATTAACGTATAATTGATTTGTCCCAAAATCACATAGACTATACGAAAGACATTAAAATTTATAAAATAGAATATGAAATTGTTCTAGTGCTAAAAGATAGCTCAATTTTTTCAACATATAAGAAAACAATGAAAACTCAAGTCTGGACTTTCAACTGAGCACAAGTTACTAATAAAATCACCATACATAGAGTACACCACCAATAAGCACGCAAATTTCCAGTCTATAAGTAGATATATATATGAACAACATATCCAAATTTCATGTCAATTTCAGATCATTCAATCATTCGTTTGTTAAACTTAATTAAAACAATGAAAACTGTCAGACTAGACTTTCAATTGAGCACGGGTTACTAATAAAATCCCTATGAATAAATTACACAACCCAAAATCACGAAATTTTGCAGTCTAAAAATAGACATATATATGAAGAACTTATTCAAATTTCAAGTCATTTGGTGAACAATATCTCAGTCATTTGTTAATTTCCAAATGAGTATTCCAGCAGAAAACATTCTGTACATCTATGTCTACTTGATAAAACCACCAAAAATTCAATTCTTCATATATTTTTGTAATTTTGGTGTCCAAAGAAGCTTTAAGAAGTCTACTTCAACATATAGCTTTATCATGAATAAATCTTGAACCATAAAGATATGAAAATAAATAACATAGCAGTAGATTTCAATGTGTACCTTAGGCAATTGTGATTATCCTTTATGTGTTCAACAACATATGCTCCATTTAATTTTGAGAAGAGAAGACAACACATAACAAACATTAAATCACATAGCCAATCTTGAAGAAATCCAAAACTTTTAACAAGATAAACATACCACCATCTATGAATACACTACAATATGCCACTTTTGAACTGAATTAAGGAAAATTTAATCAAACGTGTATCTCGATCCAAAAATTAATTTAAACCAATGAAGATTACATTTGGTCGAGAAGCCTTAAGACCAAAACAAATTCTATGTCATGCATTATCGATCCCAATATGGAATTTAAGGGGGTTCATATGAAAAGCATTCAAAACTTTAAACATAGAACTATCATGACTTTAAATTCACAAATGAACAAATACCCTATAAATTTTACAACTGAAACAACTCGCACCTTTGTTTGGTTGAAGCTTAATCAGTTTTCAATGTTAAAATATAAATCATATGAGCAAAATATAGACATGAAAACTATCCATCTTTGTTTGGCAATTAATTATCACTTATCACAGGCTTCACATAATCTATACTTTACACTAAGCCACCACTAGTAATCGAACCAATAAGACTAGTCACACCTTTGTTTGGAGATATAGTTATATTGTTATGACTACTAATACAATTTGATGAACTAAACTTTGAATTTTTAGCAGCCTTTGAATCAATGGAACGGATTTGTTGTGTTCCATTCACCCAAGAACATCTCAAAAACATTGATCTTATGATAACTTTTAGCATGTCTTAATAATAAATATTTCAATTGAAGAGCATGCTTATTTAGCAAAGTTAGAGAAAACATACAATTTTCTGCTTTTCATATAGGGAAGTGTTATTGGTACTCCAAAAATCTCATTCTACACTCCTCACAAGTGTAGTTTTTTTTCCTAATATAGAAAGTTTGAAGTGTAGAATGTGAATTTTTTAGTGCTAATAACAATTCCCTATATATATATGCCTATTTACATTCCCAAAGTTCTCTATGTCAACAAAAATTAAAAAAAGGAAAATTAATAGGTTAATAACCATGTTTACCACTTTTGCTGAAATATGTATGTGACAAAAAAGGATTTGTCATCATGCTATACATACATATGCCAGCCTCAAGAAGTTCTAGTTCATGACAATTATATATACTTAATGCCTTTTTCAGAAAATTTTAATTTTAACATCCCAAATTATATATGCACAACCACATAGGAGACTTGATTAAGGTAGTTTTGATAAAGCTAATAAACATGTATAAACCCAATGGGACAATTAAATCGAAACAGTAGGCAATATCAATTAATAGGTTGTAATATTCCTTCAAGTCAAAAGACAAGTTTTAATATATAGTTATCTAAAATTTCAATATGAAATTTAGGTTAAAAAACAATTCACATAGAAAATCAATTTCTTTTTGCCGGGAAACATGAGTATGGAAATTGAGCAAAACTTAAAACTTGTCATCGATTCAAGACATTAATTTTTAGGGTTTACCAAGTAGGTCTTTAGTTGTATTATGACCTACTCTGATACTAATTGTTAGACTTTATATATTTTATAAACAACTAAAAACACTAACCTGAAAGAATCCATAAATTATGCTCAATTGATAAAGTACTAGAAGTCAACATGGCATGTAGGAAAGATGAACCATCTTTGACAGAACCGTGAGGAATCGGGTCAACCATGGACTTCTCCTTCGGTGAAAATCGTATTGGAATCCATAATATGTTAGTTGATCAAAATCTTCTGCACACTCAAAACTCATTTATACTCGAACTAATAGGACGTTCATATAAATTTCTGTGTATGTATATAGACTTAATCCTAATGAATCTTCCCATAATAATGTCATTAGGATTCCTTTTTTTAAGGATAATACCATGCTTCTCATCTTTTCTTATTCTAGGCAGTTTTCTTATCTTTCTTCAAAACATTATAATATCCTTACATGTAAAAAGTCATTCGTAAGTACATACACCTTTCAATGCAAATACAATAAAAACAACATTGAATTGGGTCAAAATTTCCAAACCATACTTTACAACCAATGAAAAGAAAGATACCTGAAAGAAGCAATTATGGGATTGTCAGTTTGAAATTGACTGAGTTGAGCTAGAGGGACGTTGAGTCCTTCAACCCAGTTGATATTCTGGAGGGTACTACTACCCTTTGTTGATAAGGCCGCCCCAGATGGAGTAAGGGCAGGGGTATCCCAGAAGTAGGACAGAGGGCTAGTGATAAGGTTCTGTTTGGACTCAAACGGCAGGAAAAAAACCATTTTGGCATTCTCCCGAAGTTGGGTCAAAAGGGTTGGAGGAACTCCATGATTGACCAAACGAAAAATTCCCCAAAACTCGCATGCCTCCCCAAGTTTCAGGCTCTGGAGATCCACCACAGGAATCGGATCGTCCATATCATGAACCGGGTTGACTTGATCATCCAAATCAACGGCCTGGGTTGAATCTGGAAGTGAACGAAACGGTGGAGGGTAGGATTCAGAAGCCATTTTTTTCTCAGAACAATGGAGGTCATCGTCTTGCTGTTGGGCACGAGGCTGCTTATGAATTATTATATCAAACTGGTACAATAAATGAGACGGCAACCTTTTTTAGCGAGACAAAGGTCCATTTGTTTATTCTACAAGTGGGACCAGGATGTTGTTTGTTTCAAAATTTTTGCCTTGTGTCAGGATGACAACTCAATATACTTAGTGTATTATGACATTTGTTGTATTAGATTGTGTTCTTGCATGTTAGGTAATTTTTCTTTTTTAAAGAGATTTTTCAATCTAACCGGGTTATAACTTATTACACTAAATGTATTATAACATTTAGTGTATCGTATTGTGTCTCGAAATGCTATTTTTTTTTTTTGGTTTCTGAATATTATGGTGCCGACACGGAACCTGTGGTCCATTCTCCAACTCTAGGCAAAATCTATGAAAAAAAAGAGAGAATGATGATTGGAAAGGTGGCTCCTAAATCAGTCATAGGTCTGTCTGTGTACATGTGCTATTTTTGAATTAGGATTCCCTTCTCTTATCTTTTTATTCTATTTCATTCTCATCTCTCATATTTTTTATTTTATTTTTCTTTTTTTATAAAAACTTAATATTAAAATATTAAAATAACTTAACTGTGATCGTTTAAATAAGAAAAGAAGGAAGGAGGGAAAATAGAGAAGAGAATCCTTCTCCGCTATTTTTACCACTCAATGTTTAACAAGATGTTGATCGGATGCATGATGGTTTGATAGTTAGATTATGATTGTCAAAATTTAGTCATACAAATCAAGCCATTAATTAAAGGGAGTTCTAATGAAAAGCTCACGGTACTGTTCACTTTAAAGAAAAACCACATTTTTACACTAAAAAGTCAAATATGCTATTATTCACTTTACCATTTATTTTGTTCTTATCATTAAAACTCAAAATTTTCAAGCCATTTTCATTAGTCTTTCTTTAATTAAACTGGTGCATGGAAGAATGTTACAAAACTTAATGCTTATGTTGTTTGAAATTATTGTTGATCAAGATGATTTTAGGCATTATATATTTAATTTGACAGCGTAAGTTCGTTAAAAAAAATCACAAATGGTCAAATATATTATTTCTTTTATATTCGATTCTAAGTATATTATTTCTTTTATATTCGATTCTAAGATCAACTTTAACCTAATACATTTTTTAAGACCAACCTATATGCACACGCTCATGTTTTTTTTTTTATCTTTATTTGTTTTTTCTTTTTTATCATTTTGTCCTCACTATTTTTTTTACTTTTTTTTATAGCCTATAAATATTTGAATGTTTAACCATAAGAGCAAGTCCACCCATGGACATTGCTCGGGGGACAGGGGAGAGGAAAGGGCCCAAGGCCCTGTGAACTTGCTCCAGCATTGAAGGAGCCCGAGCGGAGGTGAGGCTCGAGCTCCGGGCCTGTGAAGAGTTGACAGCTCGAGAGCCTGAGTGGGTGTGACGCCAGCGCTAGCGTCATACCCTTTTTTTATTTTTTTCTGTCAGGCGCGTGCACCCCACTCACGCGTGGGGGCGCTTCGCCCAACCATTTTTCAGAAAAGTCTGACTTTTCATACACAAAAGTTACCGTTGGGAAGCCATGTGGCTTCCCACGGTCCGTTCGATCTCAACGGCTCTTTAATTTGGACCGTTGGATCTCAACGGTAAAAAAAATAAAAAAAATCTTATTTAATATCAACCGTTCGATCTGAGATCAACGGTCGATATTAATATGCTTTATAAATAAATAAAAAATAGTTTTAAAATTAAGAAAAGTTACCGTTGTGACACGTGGCACAATCTGGAGTGTTGGAATTCAATTTTTTTTTTAAATCCAACGGCAGAGATTAATTATTTGAATAAAAAAAAATTTAAAAATTGTAAAAAATCCGAAAAAATATATGATTTAAAAAAAAAAAAATGTTTCTACTTTTCTATAAATACCTTCTCATTATCATCTACTTTACACCACAATTTCATATTTTCTCAACTACTTTCAATCACATTCCTATCTTTCTCTCAAAGTTTCAATCCAATTTTTTTCAACAAAATGACTACTGATGCAGGTACGAATTGGACGCTTCTTGAAGATGTTGCATTGTGTACTAGCTGGGTTGAAGTTACTCATAGTTCACATGCGGGTAATGAGATGTAGTTGCGAGAAATGTGGAGTCTTATTCATACTAATTATCTTGAAAAAATGGGTGGAAGTAGAACCAAAGAATCGATGTCTAATCGTTGGAAATTACTTAGCCAATCGTTTAGTATTTGGAGAGACGCCTTGGCACAAGCTAATAGTAATCTTCGAAGTGGGGAAAATTACACGGATCAGGTAACAATATATTATTTATTTGTTTGTACTATACCCAAATTTCCATTGTAATTATTTGTTTGTATTATTTATTTGTTACATACTTTAATTATAATTATTTGTTTGTATTATTTATTTGTTACATACTTTGATTATAAATTTTTGTTTGTATTATTTATTTGTTTCCTACTTTAATTATAATTATTTGTTTGTATTATTTATTTGTTACATACTTTGAGTATAATTTTTTGTTTGTATTATTTATTTGTTTCCTACTTTAATTATAATGATTTGTTTGTGTTATTTATTTGTTACCTACTTTAATTATAATTATTTGTTTGTATTATTTATTTGTTACATACTTTAATTATAATTATTTGTTTGTATTATTCATTTGTTACCTACTTTAATTAGAATTTTTTGTTTGTATTATTTATTTGTTACCTACTTTAATTATATTTATTTGTTTGTATTATTTATTTGTTACCTACTTTGATCATAATTTTTTATTCTCCCCCATTGTGTAGCTAATTCAAGCACAAGCTTGGTATGGTGCCAAAACCAAAAGCAAAAATAAATCATTCAACCGGTGGGAATGTTGGAATATTGTCAAAGATTGTCCTAAATTCAGAGTTGTGCATGTCGGTCCAGAAGTTGTCATGAACAACACCCCGTTATACTCTACACCTGATAATGGCTCGCATGAAGATGATGCAGAACAAGTGCCCGAAACGCCCATCCCTGAACAAGTGTCGGGTTCGACCCGTTATCCAATTAGGCCTCAAGGTAAGAAGGCTTCAAAGAGAAAAGGAAGTGCTTCCAAGCATGATTATGCAAAGTACATGGAAGAACTTACTCACCATAGTGAATTGACTTTGGCGCGGGAAATGGCGAAATTTGAGGCTGATAAGGCTAGAGAGGAGGTAAAAGTTGCAGCTGTTGAGAGAGAATTTCAAGCTAATCAGAGAGAAAATAGAGCTACTTAGGCAAGAAAGGGAACTGGTTAGAGAAGAAAGAATGGCTCAACAAGATCATGAGATTATGAACATGCCTGGAAGTCTCTAAATTCTAAATATTTTTGGAAGTCGGAGAAAGAGGATGTGGTGCGTAGGAGGCGTGCAAGAGAAGCGAGAGCAAGAGGAGATGGTCCTAGCACAACAAGAGAAGATCATCCTAGCTCCACAAATTGATTAAGTGATGATGATTAGAGTACTTTTTGTAATCGGAGCCCATAGTTTTCCAATCACCTTGGGTTGTAATTTATTATTTATTGAATTGAGTATTTTATGTTGTTTTGAATTTAGTATTTTATTTAAAGTGAGAATAAATTTATTTAATATGGTAATATATTTATACTATAAGAGAATCTTTATTCAAATGACATAAACACACCAAATAAAATTACATAAACACACCAAATAATAAAAACCTCACTAAATGAACTAAAATAAAACACACCAAATAAAATTACATAAACACACCAAATAATAAAAACCTCACTAAAATGAACTAAAATAAAACACACCAAATAAAATTACATAAACATACCAAATAATAAAAAACACACTAAATGAACTTAATTATCTTCAGCTTGTTTCAATGCCCACTGGTGCTCTATCAAGTCATTTTGCCGGGCATTGTGCATGTATGGCCTTTGAAATGCAGTGTATCGTTGAATGACCCTTTCATTGTAACGTCCATCCCTTTCTAATGGCTCATGTTGCACGGGCTTATCGGTGGCGTCATGAGCACGATATATACGTGTTCTTGAATTGTTCATCGTGTCTGCCTCATATTCATCAACGGCTTCATAATCATACTCATCTTCCACAATCATGTTGTGAAGAATGATGCACGTCATCATGATGGATCGAAGTGACTCTACATCAAACAATCTGGCAGCACCCCTGACGATCGCCCAGCGAGCTTGGAGGATACCGAAACAACGCTCCACATCATTCCTGCACCCCTCTTGACATCTTGCAAAGTGTTTTTCCCTTGCACTTCGTCGACGTGACACTGTTTTGACAAATGTTGACCACCTTGGGTAAATGCCGTCGGCTAGGTAGTATGGCCCGTCATACATACGTCCGTTAACCTCATACGTGACTTTTGGTGCCTTTCCTTGCAAGACATTGTTGAACACTGGGGATTGGACAATGACGTTGAGGTCATTTTGAGCTCCTGGAACCCTGAAAAAGGCGTGCCAAATCCATGTATCAAAAGATGCCACTGCCTAAAAAATGATACTTTTTGCTCATTTTCTGTCTCTATAAGCGCTTGCCATGCACTTGGATAGTTTTTCCAAGTCCAATGCATACAATCAATGCTCCCAATCATCCCAGGAAAACTTCGCATCTCAGCCTTCTTCAAAAGCCTTTCCAAGTCCATGTGAGTAGGTTTCTGGAGGTACTCTGCGGTGTAGATAGATTCGATTGCTCTGCAAAACCTCATCAGGGACTCAAGAATGGTTGATTTCCCCATCCTCGCTATCTCATCCACTTGGTCTGCAGCTGCTCCATACGTAAGCATCTGCAGCGCAACAATAATTTTTTGCTCGGGAATGAGACCCATAACACCACAAGCATCCTTCTTTTGCACAAAGTAAAAATCATGGTTGCAACAACAATCATGATTTTGTTGAACAAAAGTCGTTCCATTCTAAAACGACATCTGAAGTATGTATCAGTTAATGCACTATTATGGACAAAATAATCGTCCAACAGCTTGTCACCTCGTTGTTGCCTACTTCTATCAAGGTTTCTGG